GAGGAGAGAAGAGAGAGGGGAGGAGAGAGAAGAGAAGAGAGAGGAGAGGGGAGAGGAGAGGGGAGAGAGGAGAGGAGAGAGGATAGAAGAGAGAGGAGGAGAGAGGAGAGAGGAGAGGAGAGAGGAGAGGAGAGAGGAGAGTAGAGAGGATAGGGGAGAAGGAGAGGAGAGAGAAGAGAAGAGAGAGGAGAGGAGAGAGGAGAGGAGAGAGGACAGAAGAGAGAAAGGATGACCCCGGACCTAAGTCTCCTGATTGGTTTCGCGCGTGGGGTGTTATTATGATTGCGGTGTACGTGTCACGTGTCTGCATTCGGGTTCGTGGATCCTATCAGGTTTCATTAGTTTTCATGCTTGAATACTGATTTTTCATAACTTTCCATAATTTTCATCATTTTCATGATTCTTCAAAATGTCACACACCTTTTGAAGCTCCAAGAGGGTCGAGAGTCTAAAAACGACGACAGTTACGAGGATCGTGACCCCGACCACCACAATCCCTGTGACTGGTGACGCTTTTGGAACCCTGACCCCCGCAATCCTTTTGACAGTCGAGAAAAACACAAAAAATTGAAGGAAGGCATTAGGTTTGGTGAAGCTTGACTGGTTGGGGTCGGTTTATACGCAATTGTCCCCACCCTCACCCCCCGTCCCCCCCAAAGCTCTAATAGTGAAAATATCAACCAGCATAGTTGGTAGGGAGGGGGGGGGCCTACTACTACTACTACTACTACTACTACTACTACATACTACGACGACGACGACGACGACGACGACTACTACTACTACTACTCCTGCTGCTACTGCTATTCCTGCTGCTACTACTACTACTGCTGCTGCCAGTAATACTACCACTACTACTGTTAGTACAACTACCATTGCTGATGAAACACAGTTGGGGAACTGTGTTGCACGTTCAAGGCATGGCAGTGGGGCTCACCAGTCGCTGGTCATCCAACGACTCTTGAAGAGCGTTCCTTGTCTCGACCTGGAGTATTCCACTACTACCACGTGCTTGAAGTTCCTTCTTGCAGCTCAGCTCTTGGCTGTTTGAAGGTTTGGAGTAAAAGAACGTTTCCGACTTGAAAGAAAAACACCAGGTCGCCCTCATTGGCGCAGACTCCAATGGAGTGGCAGTGCTTCTAAAGGCACTGGCCAATGGATCTTCTGAGGACAGGTTGAAGCAAATTGGAAACCAAAATCTTCAACGCCTGTTGCACAGACTGTAGCATCGTTCAAGCAAGCCATGAGGCAATGGCAAAGTAGGTGGTCAGGAGACCCGGACATTAAGCAACCACTGGCCGCAGGAGCGAGTGCAGCTGGCCTTGGCTTTGAATATGGAACCAGGCCTCATCTTATCCATAGCCAGGCCTGGCAGGGGAGAGTGGCTTCTAACATGGAATGTGGTTCCCTTCGCAGCATGACTTGTGGGACAAGATTCTTTGTCACACAAGCAGTGGGTTTTCCTGCCCTCCTGCAAGGAGAGTGTTAGCCAAACCCATCTAAGCCCCAAACGGCCAATTCCTGAGAGCTTCCAGCCAAAAAAAGGTCTTGATATCTTCAAATTCCAAAGCATTCCTGATCACATTGGAGTATTGGAGTTGCCTGAGGAGCCGCTATGGCCATGCCGTGGCGTCCTGCTCTCAGTGCAGAGCAAGCATGAATGGAGACTTGGGATGCTGGCTTTTGTGCTTTTTTTCTTAGGCAGCTAGTGGTGAGCTACCTTCCAGAGCCTCAGAAAATGGAGCTATGCCGTGAGGTGGCGGCACACTCAGAGGATCCACTGAGAGGGTGTAAGCAGCCACCAAGTGATCATGTGCTGATGAAAGGCCCCTCACCCGTAGCAGATTCAGGCTTTTCAGCGCTTCAGTGAAAGAAATGCAGCAGTCCCTGAAGGAGCTGCGGGCATCGCGCTACGGCAGACTTGTGCTGAACAACCTTGAATCTGGGTTGTCCATAATTATAATGACAGGATATCATGGTGACCGTCAGCCGTGCAAGCAGTGGGGTCTTAGGGTTGATCCCAAACCCATCCGAAAGACTCGCATGTGCCCCAAAGGTTTGTTTGGATGTAGGTTTGCTTCTAGCTGGAGCAGAGTTGTGGGAAGTAGCGACAGGTGTTCAGGGACAGGCTGCTTACCAGGAGCAGTCTGATTGGACTGCGACCGACCTACCTGGACTTGACTTTCTGAAAAAAGGCCCAAGCTTTCCAAGTCGAGTTTGGACTTGGACTTGGACCGCGCCTGTAGACAAAGCACAGCCATAAGGAGTCACAGGGCAGCCCAATCGACATCGACATGGCGCTGCACAGCGATACGGACGAGCAGTAATGGTCTCTCGGGATCCTAGCCGTTATGTCGTTGAGGCTACAAGCTAACCCAGGTGATGAGATGGCAGATGAGGAGCCAACATCCTTCTATATTTTTGGATCTTGTACGTAGTGAATCTGAGTGGATCCCTTGGGTTGGCTTGAGTCTGCGAGCAATCCTTGCACCCTTTCAATTTTCACTGCTTTGGTGCCAGCGGGGTAGTCACTTGCCCCAGCGCCCCACATGAATCTGGCCACCAGTGTCAATTTCAGAGCTTTTGTCGTACGGTGTTGCGTATGACCTTGATTGTACGAAGTTTGGCTTTTGTGCTTCATGCTTTTCCGGTCTTTCTCCTGTTCCATGGAAATCATGTATGAGGCCTGAATCCATGTGGCCCGGGCAGGCGTGCAAAGGTGTGCAGATTCAGTACACAAGTTTTGACACAGAATAGGCTTCTGAATAGGGACCGCAAGGTTGCGTAGCAAACCCATCACGTCCACAAACAAGAATAGCTCCTGGTTCTCCAGGTCAGTCGTTGAGTTGAAATCTGCACACTTTGTTTGGGTCACGCTTGTCGGACGAGGCATCGCTCACAAGGAGTGCATTCAGCCGTTTCTTGCATGGTTTTACCTGAATTCACCTTGCTTTGGCTGCTCATCTCCCAGCTATACCTTGCCGGGGGAATGGGGGACGTACCAGGCACGGTCTGCGGAACCTGCATCTTTTGTTGCTCTTTGAAGTCGAAGATAGTCGAAGCCACCTTTTAGACAATGAGACAACTCCCACTTCCTGCGACCTTGCCTGGGCTGAAGCAGGCACGGCAAGGCTCTGCACGCCATCGGAAGCACCTTAGGTGCTTGTGATGCGCAACTCTATAGTTGCAGCGGTGTGCATTTGACTTGATACTATGTTTTTTTCTGAATCGCATGCTGACTTGCCTTGTTTCTTTCATGCACGCCGCTGCATGGCTACTTACTGTGCCGCTCTCCGAGCAGGGGACGCCACTGAGAACCGCTTGCGAAATGCTTGGACAGGCCCTTTTCGCCCTGCGGTAAACCGTGCAAGCCTTGCTATGTCAACCGCGGAGGAGTCCAGAGGGAGAGATGCCTACACCTTGCTGCCACAACTGTCCCTTTACATCGACATCTCTGAACGCAGTCTGGTAGAACTAGAATCGGCATCAAGCAGGCAGCAAGCCCTTACGGTCCTTACGTCTCTAAAGGAAGGGGGAGGTTGCTGGGCGATGTGAGTGGCTGTTTCTGCCCAAAGAGCTAGAATTAGGACTCTGTCGTTTAGTGGGCATGCTCTTGTTCCCAATCTGTCAAGATCACCACAGCCCAAGTGCCCAAAGTTGAGCCGATGTCTTACACGACACTTTCGTTTGTGTAGGATTGTGGCCATGACCAGCAAGGGGTGTCGCCTTCGGATTGCAAAGTGAACTCTTTTGGTGGCGGCCTCCTGCACTAGGGTGCATGGGGTTGCCTGACATGGTCAGGAGCTTGCCGGCTTGCGCCATCTTGCTTGCAGGATGCATGAAAATGCCACGATGTTCGCGCACGTGGTTGCCCAAAAGAGCGGATGTCTTGGAAAAAGCTACGACGCAACGTGATTAGTTTTGCCGTGGCATTTGTGTCTGTGATCACGAAACCAGCGTGTCGGATGCTCGCGAAAACAGCTCACGCTGCTTTGCTAGGTGGACGGGCCTTCCCGGCATGTTTCAGGGTTTGCATTCAAGGGTCGTGCAGATGGGGTGATGAAAACTTGCAAGAGAAATCAACAGGGCTCTTAATTGCTTCTGGCAGCTGCTTGGTGTGCCAGCCTCCCCAACCTCGGGTAGCGCATTGCACAAATGGCCCTTGCTGTGTAGCGTCAGATTGGATGACTTTGCAGGCTAAAAGATGTGCGCCTGGTGCGCGACTTCTTGAAAAGGTCCAAAGGCCCCTGTGTGCAGGGTCTTGGGGGAGGGTTGCGAGTTGCAAAAAGGCTGCAGGACTACGAAGCTCAAGAGGCAGAGCATAATGCCGTCTTCTGGAGGAAGCACGTAAGTTATTCCAGGAGAAAGGCCAGGTGTTGTGAATGCTCGCATGGGCATTTGGAACAAGTGGCGCTACAGAAATGAGAGCATGCATCAGCAAGTTTCACAACCTCTGCGAGGATCTATTGGGGTGAATTCTTCAGTTTCACAGGAAGTGCTGTTCGTCAGATATCAAATCAATCAGATTGTACATGACCTAGTTGAGGCCTTTTGCGGTGACGAATATATAACGCAGTGATTACGACAGTCTCGCAAAGCTTTTGAAAGTACGACCAAGTTTCCAGAAGTGCAGCAACATCCGAATCAGAACCAAGCTTGACAACCCACACCCACGTGCTGTTCCAGGTTATGCGTACATTGATTTCGACTCCTCAGAGCATGTTGGCGAGGCTGTGGAGAAGTTCAACGGCCGCTGGCCCAGTTGAAAGCAAACTGCTTTGAGCTGATTTGAGCTGGCAAGTTGGTCTGCAGGTGATGGAATAATTCAATGCAGGAGGGCCGCGTTGGCACGGCTGTCGGGCCGAATACGATGCGAAATAAAGGCCCCATGTATTAGACCTGCCTTTCAGGGCAGCGAAGGTGAAATGCATCAGGTTTGGGTGCGACGAGGGTGGGGGGTGCCGGAGATTTGCACATGGCTCTAGGATCGCACCAAATGAAGAAAGAGAGCGGGGAGCACCCTGGGGAGGGTAGCAAACCCTGGACGCCTTTTGGCAGTGCTGAGCAGCCGATCTAAAAATCGCCAACAGAAGGCGATTTGTGTGTTTGTAGCCCTGTAGCCGTGGTATGACTTGTCCTGCGCTTCCCGAGAATGAAGCTGTAGCAGCAGCAGGGCCTGTGTTATGCCCGTGCGAAATAAGCGGGATGCAAGAGTTCTTAGTTCTCAGATGTTCTCAGGATCACGAATCAGGAGAGCTCTCAATGTAGCAGTGGCAGGGTAATGGTAGCAGATGGTCAGGAGCGATTCTAGTGGTTTCAGGCACCCTCGTCAACGAGCGCGTCTGGAACCAAGCCTGCTCTGCCACAAAAAAGAGGGCTTCGGTCTCGCCTGCTATCTTGTTAGATGGCTTCCATGCATCCAAGACTGACCAAACATATCTTCTGACAACAGAAGCTAGCCTACATATCATATCCTCAGCCTTGGAACACATGCCAGATTATGAAGCCAATTCTCTCGTCACTCTTTCGTGCGACGACTTCTGACAACATGCTGCCAGGGCTTTGTCTCCAGTGCATCCATTTTTCATTTCGAGCAGATGTCCCCACCCCTGTAGACTGGACTACTATCGAGAGCTTGGACCTCCGTAAAGAAAAGTTGACCATGATGATATATGATGATTCACACAAGGCGTAACAAGGCTGTTGGTTGTGCTGCGGCCAAGAAGAAGTAGTATGCTGAACAAGTCACCCAAAACCTGAAACCTCACCGGCCCCTCACTCAAGAGGCTATGAGGGTGGCACGCTCCCTGCCCACGAAGAAACTGTACGAGGCTGGTCGCTGAAGCCTGCAGATTGAGCATCCTTGTCACAAATGGGGTGGCTGAGGACCTGGCAGGTGTCCTAGACAACCCGCCAGTAGTTAAAGTAATTGTTTGGTGAAACATGCTTGCACAGGTGGGTATGCCTAAATTTTTGCAGCAAGAAACTGTTGTCAAGGCGGCATAGGGCGTCCCTTGCTTTGCACACCTCTGCATCAGCCTCTTCTGCGGAAGCCGAGGTGTTTGCATCACATTGCATCACCATGTTGGCTTCCAGGAGAAAATCCTTTTCGTCAAGAACATTGGCGCAGGGCTCAGCAGGCGTCGCCAGCTCCCTGAAAACCCTGATGGGCCTCAAATTCACACGTGTGATGAGCAGCAGCGGCAGGAGTGGCAGCAGCAGCAAGTATCACCACACAGGGTCTGAGCAGAAGACGACATCCTCCATCCACGGCGCAATGGAAGACACCAGCCTGGACGTCCCGACTCAAGCGGCCGTACAAGTAGCTGCCACACAACTGGACTAGCTTCAAGCTAGCAGCCTTCAAGTTCTGAAGCATGACTGGATTCTCGAGTAACAGACCCCCAGTAGTAACCTCGCACCTTCGAAGTAGCAGGTTCGTCTGGCAGCCTCCAGAGCCTGAAGAATATCCAAGTTCTGAAGTAGCATCCGTTTAAAAAAATGAGGCGCTAGTGCCAGTGAAGACGATGTCAAGAAAGCCTTCGAGCCTCAAGGGGAGGCCAGGAGTCTGATGCCAGCCAATGCTGTACGCAGCAACACTCAGCCAATGTGAATAAGTGTTCTCCAGACACCTTTCAGATTCCAGAGCAGCCAAAGTGTGGGAGTAAAGGAGGCACTTGTCTTGCTTTGCATCGTAGCAGGTTGCGAGCGTGCGGATGCCAAGGGATAGCAGCCAGGACCTCCAGCGACTCTGTGGGTTCCTTGGGCATCGACTCTCAATAAACAAATCAAAATGGGCGATGAACAGTGTGATTTCTTTTCAGCCGGCTCTACAATGCCAGCGGCAGGCTAGGTCTTGAACTCCTTCGAGGGGAGCAAGGTCCAACCAGCGTGAGTAGCGCGGCACAGGGGATCTGAGTGCAGCATGTATTCCGTACCTGGCGGCAGGCCAGTAGTTAGTTTTTTACTCAAGCCCGAGTTTCTTGCTTCTCGGAGGATGCCCACAAAGGCCGCCTGTGGCATGCTTGGCACAGTGCTTCGGGTGTTCGGGGTCCCTGGGTGGAGGTGCCGGGTATAGAAAGGCTTTCAGAACAGCTTTTGCTCAGCCCGCAGTTGAAGCAATGCCTAGGGCCTAGAGCCCTAGAGCGTTCATGATTTCAGTGACTTTGCATGCAGATGATTCAAATGTTAATTAATCTCCCAATAATACCGGCTCGGCCAAAAATGCTTGTTTTTAGAGTTTGGCCTATGGACCGGGGGGGGGGGCCGGACGAATAATGAACCAGGAGGCTTGGGGGTAGTAGAAAGAAGTACAGGTAGTAGGGCT